CGGACAGCCCCCCTCCCCCCAACCCCGCTTCTGCCACCCGCCCGCCCACCCACATGCCTGGATCTCCACAGGACAGCCCCACACCCCCAGCCCTGCGTTCGCTGCCCGCCCGGATCTCTGTGGGACAGCCCCGCCGCTCCCAGCCCTGCTTTGGCCGGCCGCTCGTCTGCCTGGATCTCCACCGGGACAGCCCTGCTACCCCCAGGACTGCTTCCCGGCGGCCGGTTCCTCCCCACCTCCTCCCAGCCCGCCCCGCTCTGCTCTCCTCCTGGCAGGGATGCTGAGGCCCATTTTTTTTTTCCTGTGGCCCGGTATCGGGCCGCGGCCCATAGTTTGGGAAACGCTGATCTAGCCCAGTGTCCTGTCTGCCGACAGTGGCCAATGCCAGGTGCCCCAGAGGGAGTGAACAGAACATGGAATCATCATGTGATCCATCTCCTGTTACCCATTTCCAGTCTCTGGCAAACTGCCACAATGGGCAGGGAAGGTGTCCCTAGCCTCTAATAGCCATTGATGGACTTGTCCTCCAGGAATGTATCTAGCTCTTTTTTGAACCCTGTTAAAGTCCTGGTCTTCACAACACCCTCTGGCAAGGAGTTCCACAGGTTGACTGTGCCCTGCAGGAAGAAAAACTTCCTTTTGGGTAAAAGGAAACCTTTTCTAGAGGAGTCTGATTTTTCTAAGTGGATGTGTGGAAATTTGACTGTTAGAATAGTTTCAGCTGAGATTGGTTAGGAAACAGGCCAGACACTTGGAGAAATGATAAATGGCTCCACATTTTGTCACTTTGGGCATTGCCATCTAGTGGTCCAAATGTCTGAGAACCATTAGACAGCGGCCACGACCAGTTAATCAAGCTGTCAGAGAAAGGTTTCCCTCTGTTGCCACCCCAAAAGTTACACAGAACCAACGTTCATCAGGGGCCATATCTCATGGCTCATCAGCGCTAGAAGTGGCAACTCCATACCCCTGGAAAGAGGAGCTTCTGATTTTCCAGGGGGCTCATAGCATATGTTTGGTGCTTATTCGGAGATTCCAGACTGAGCAATTTTCATTGTATAGGAAAAGTTATTCTGGATAATTTAATTTTCTTCTTCTGCAAGCGTCTGTGCAGTGGGACTCGCAGTCAATGAGCCTGACTTTAATTAGGAAAGAATAATTCAAAAGAAAATGTTAATTAATGCTGGGTGGCCATAGTCCTGCAAACATTTATGCCTGAATGCAACCTATACTCCGTTAAGAATGTGCCATGTTTGCAGGCCCGAGGCCTTAAGCCATATATTTAACAACAACAAAATCATTCAAAATGGCTCTGTAGATATGATGCTGTGGTGGGAAGCAAAGATTTCCTTTGTTAGTAATCGCTCATGCAGGCCCCACCGGGGAGGCAACTAGGGCTCCCGGCCGTCACTACTACTGAGCCCTTTAAATTGGAGCATGTTGCGTAGGACTCTGGTAGCATAGTCTGGAACAGCGCTGGGCCGTGCTCAAAGGCTGGTGAGGTGTGGCTAGCCCAGTCCTGCCCCTTCTGGCAGGATGGCGCCACCCTCCTACCTGGCCCAGTGAACTTTTGGCTTCCCTGTGCTCATGACTTTGCCCTATTACTCAAGAGGAAATCATTCCAAACTTATGCTGATTATACACCTGATTCCACAGCCTCACCTGTGTGTTCTGTTCTGTATTCCCATAGAGAGAGGGGTAAGTGTAAGGCATAGTCCCATTTTCTCCCCCGCAAGACTCCCTTCTCTCTCTCTCACACAGGGCATTGGGCTCTCAAGTTCTAAAACCCCTCCAAACATGAGTTCGTTCGTTCGTTCGTTCGCTCTCTCTCTCTCTCTCTCTCTCTCTCTCTCACACACACACACACACACACACACACACACACACACAAAACTAGACAGCTCTAAGACTTTACATTCTGCCTTGGCTGTAGGAACATAATAGGCCGATTTACATCCTCTGAGCAACTGGCCTAACTATTTATACTAGCTAAGAGTGGTTCTACACTGAAAACTTTCAGCAGTAACTCTGCATCGCTGAAGGGTGTGAAAAATACACCCACGCCCGTGAGGGATGTAGCTACGCCCAGACAACCCCCAGTGTCACTAGCACAGCTAGCACATCACCTAAGAATCCGCCCCCAGAAAGCCAGTCGTAGCCAGCAATGGAGAAGTGTCAGTAGAATTAACTGCCAGTGGCCGTATGTCTAATCAGGCTCCCTCATGGTAACTGCTGCAGGTTCATATACGCGCTGTGCAGCTACTTGGTGCTTCTCTGGACTTTGAGTCCGAGAAAGCCCCTGTTGCCAAATAATGCCGCTGCAGGGTCACGGATAATCACTGGAGGCCTGGGTGTGTTGTACAACACTATGGAATGAGACATCAGTGCTAGAAGAGGGTAACCAACAGATTTTTCAGTTCATTGGCAGTTTTGAAAAGTAACAGAATGATTGGCTCCCTGTGACTGAATCTGCATTTTTTTCCACCAAAGGAAAAAAGTTTCTGCTAAAAGGCTGTAATCACTGTCCTCCAGAGAATAAGGCTCACTTTAAAAAACCAAACAAAGAAAGAAACCAGCTGTATTTACAGAGGGACAGGAAATCAAATCAGCTTTCACTCAGAAGTGCTTTGTTTACTGAGCTGTCAGAGAAGTTGCTGTGAAATGTTTTCTATTTACAAGGGACAATAACACTTTGCTGCACTGTGCTGACAGCTTAGCTCATTTTGGCATGATAAGGTATCTCTCTTTCCACCCTTTATTAGCTCTGTTACATGCTGGCCAGTATGTACAAGAGCGACCAGTGACCCTGCGCATACCCCAGGGTTTATTGTGCACAGCGAAGGACTCCTTACTGAGCCATAACTTTCAGAGGTGAATGTTTCTGCACGTGAAGCCCATTTGACTCTCTCTCAAATTGGGCACCCAAATCTCCGGCCTCACAAAATCTCTGGCCACACTTGAAAATCCATTAGCCACCACTAAAAACAATAACTGTCCAGCGGCGTGCCATATTGTGTATCTCACGCAACAAAGCCTTTCTAAAAATCCTTCTCAGCAGAGCTCTGTAGAGAGTCCAAGGTCCCCTACTGCTTTGCTTCACACCTCCTGTGAGCTGAGATTCACTAGCTCCTTTCGAGATGGGTAAACTGAGGAACAGAGAAGTACATGCTGAGAGAGCCAGTCAAGCGGTGCTTTTTTTCTGCCAGGGCTTGGCCGTTCATAGTCCCGGCACCTCTGGGCTTGCTGTGTCAGTCACGAAAGTAAAAAATAAAAATTGCGTGAGCCCCGGTACCTCCTCCATTACCAGTTAAGCCCTGATACCAGGCACAGAACCTGGGGATCCTTGGGTACTTCCTGTTGCTAGATGACACTGTCCTCCATCGGGACTCTTCTAAAGAGTGACTCCTGGTTTGGGGTTCTTCCACTCTCTGCTAGAAAACAAGACCAGAGAAAGTAAACCAAACTCAATGAAACCAACAGCACTTTCAACCTTTGCAGAAATGGAATAGCTCCTTTTTAAAAAATAACGGCCCGCAAGGCAGCTCCCGTGAACCTTGGCCAGCAAAAGAATGGCTGGTTGGGAGCACCGATAACGTCTAAGGCAGCGGTGGGCAACCTGCGGCCTGCATGAGGCCCATGAGAAATGTTGCTTACCGTTGCCTACGCACAGGGCTGCCAGATTCTGCTCTTTTCTGTCCCCCCCCGCCCCCGGTATTACTAAAGCGACCCGCTGTAAAGCCAGGACAGGCGCGTGGGTTACATTGGTCTCTGTACGAAGAAGTTTGCCCGGGGAGCCTCATGTCACACAGTCATAGAGATTAAAGCCAGAGGGGATCACCAGATGATCCAGGCTGACCTGTACATCACAGGCCACCTCCATGCCAATCCCAACGACTACAATAAGACCAAAGCATTGCCGTTGGCAGGAAACTAAACTGTTACGTCCAACAAGCTGAGAACAGGAGCGCCCCAGGTGCCCCAGTAATGCAGAGAAATTCAAATTAAGTGAGACAGCCAGGGAGGCAAAGAGGGGGCATTGGCCTTGTGCATACATGACATTTCCCTGGCACACAGAGTCAGCATCCAGCATCCAGACGTTGATTTGAATCGACACAATAACTTGTGCCTTGGCTACATTCATTGGAGCTCTAGCTTTCTTCTCCATTGGGGAACCCCTATAATGTCTCACGGGATAAACAGGCTATACTATAACCTCTATTTATTTTACTACGGACACTTCCCAGCAAGGGTATCACACACCACGGACTTCTAATCTGGTGTTGGTTAAAGCAAGTTTTATTATAAATAGGCCTTGCGTATAAATCATTGCAAAATAAACAGATGTGTGTTGATATCGGATATTAACTGAAGGGTGCTTCACAGACTTTTCTCTAAGTGCTGCATTTTACAGCTGTTTCTATAATAACTGCAACCTTGAGAGGAAAGCATCTTTTTTTTAAAAAATAGATGCAGGTTGGGAACCAGGGAATCATGTTGTCTAAGTGGCAAGGTGATAGGTGCAGGTTTTGTTATGAATAACATGGCATTGAAGGAGAGATTAGGAAAGGCAAAGCCAGGGCAGGTAGAATTAGATTGTCATGGAGGCATTGTTAAGGCTTACATTGGTTAACTGAAGTTCTTCACACGGCCAGAGGACCTGTCTTATGCTGTCTATCACCAAATAGGAAATACCACATAATATGACCTACATCACTCCATGGCTTCCTCATTTTGGCCAGGTGGGAAAAAGCATGCAAATAGCTTACTTGGGGAATAGAAAGAAAGTTAGCACAAAGAATTTCAGGAGGACATGAAGCAGTAGCTACCAGAAGGTCCAGAAGGGATCACCTGAAACAAGAAATCTTCACAAACCCCTATGCTGGAAGGAAAAATATTAAGAACCCTTCCCAGTGATGGTACAAGAAATTCAAAACAACTCTTCTAAAAACCTGAAGACAGCTGTCTGACAGAGTAAAATAAAAAGCTGAACCAACCACAACAACTGTACAGTCCATGACACGCCACCATCAGGAAAAACCATGGCACCAGGTCCCACCTCATGGATACTACCTGACACACCAACATCATGAATTTATCAAGACTGCCCCTAACTGGAGCAGAATGGTCTGTACTCTCCAAGGGACAGAACTTCGCCCTTGCCACAGAAGGTGATGGTGTGCTGAGTTGTGGAGAGCTGAGGAATTCTTCTCTCCACTGCCTCAAAGAATTCTTTCATGGCCGTGACAACCCCATCCACGCTTACCACGTCCTTACTGAAAGTCACAAAATAAAAAAAGAATCATCTGACTGGCTAACCCACAGTGGATGAAGCAATCAATGTAAGGTTCCCAAAGCATGATTTCAAGAAAATAATTTACTGTGAAATCGTTAACAAATGTCACATCCATCACTATCTCCTTGCCACCAGGAAGACAGCTCCCTGAAATCAAACTGCAGAGACTGATCCAAGCAATAAACAAAGGAGCGGGACATGGTAGCTTTCAACTGTGATGACTATGTCAGGAAAAGCCAAACAACTCTTTGATGCCACCTGTACAAAGACGACCACACGCGACAATTCACCCAGGAATTTAAGACTTGTAACTGAAGGAATATCAGGGCTTGTGGAAATCATCTTTAAAAACTGCTCACCAATTAAAGGGCCAGTTTTCTCCAGGAGACATCCAACTTCTTCCAGAAACTACGCAATGTTAGCAATCTCTCACAGATCACCATCCTTGCCATCTTGAATATCACCTCCCTACGTATCAACATCCCTCACAAAGGCAGCACTGCAGCCTACGGCAAATATCAACAAAACGATGGACAATACTCAGATATCTAATCCAAACATGTCACCAGACTCATCCATTTTATCCTCAGCACATCAGATCTGTATTCAAAGACAAACACTTTTTTCCAAACCATCAAAATAGCCATGGGTACTAGTATGGCTTCCCACTCTACCAATCCATTTGTTGGCCATCTCAAGGAAGCATTTCTGGACAAATGCACCATAACACCAATAATGTACCAGAGGTACACTGATGATATTGTCGTGCTCTGGACAGATGATCTACATTTCAGTACAGATTTCCACCTCAACTCCAACAGTCACCACCCATCCATCCAACGCTCTCTAAAACATTCCCACGCCAGCATCAATTCCCTAGACATCATATTCTGATACAACCATGGAACCCCACAGACAGTTCTAGACAAGAAACCCACAGATCACCCCATTTATCTTCACAGATCCAGTAACCACCCCAGACAAACTAGGAAATCTGGTCTCTACCGCCAGGCACTCAGCTAGCACAGAAAATGCTCTGAGGAGAAAATCCAGAGTGTAACCTTAAATGCCCCCTTCACCAAACAAGGATACTCCTCCAGAAAAATAATTGCCTCGTGGACTTGGCCACCCAAATACCCTGAGAGAACCTACCTCTTCACAGATCCAGTAACCACCCCAGACAAACTAGGAAATCTGGTCTCTACCGCCAGGCACTCAGCTAGCACAGAAAATGCTCTGAGGAGAAAATCCAGAGTGTAACCTTAAATGCCCCCTTCACCAAACAAGGATACTCCTCCAGAAAAATAATTGCCTCGTGGACTTGGCCACCCAAATACCCTGAGAGAACCTACCTC